CCCCAAAACCCCAAAACCCCAAAACCCCAAAACCCCAAAAATGATTGGGAAAATATTATAGAATAAAAAGTAAGCCGAGAGGAAAATGGAGATTTAGGATAAACCGAGACTGTTGGAAATAGATTCCAAGTCTTAAATAAATTATTAATTACTTAGAAATCTTATAAATATAGATATTTAGCTTCTCAAAACTTTAAAATTCCAAATTTGGCCATAAATTTTTGGATCACATAGCTTAACAGATCAAATTCCTCACCACTAAAAATGCTCTTAGACCAGAACAGAGGTCTCTTTTCTCTCATTATCTAAACTCTAACTTACAGACTGGCCCAATCTCACATTAAATTAATGAATACAGCTCAAAGTCAACCCAAACTAAAGGTAAGTAATCTCAATGAATTCCTGATTTATTCGACAGGGATGTCAATAATTGATATTTTGTTCAAAAATTCATTTCAGATATCTCTGCATATGGAAGGCTATCCCAGACTAGAATAAATTCGTTGGCAATATTCATATTACTTCTGAAATTTTTAAATAAAACATTTTTGTGAAGAGCAATACTAGAACCCAGAAAATACCCCAAATTAGTCACAAGAGCTTCAGCCATTGTATAAAAATAACCATGAATATAGAAAAGAAAAACGCGATTCAGCAAAGTCCTTGATTCATGCCTAGTAGATTCCTTAAGAAAAAGCCAGAAGTTAGAAGTAGAACTTAATTTTGATAGTCCTTTGTTCAAGGATAGCCATATTTTGGCACAGAGATTGATAGATATTCTGGATTTTAAATCCTATCGATCTCGCCTTGATAAACTTCCACTTGAACAACTTCGGAGCATTATGACTAGGGTGTATCAAAGTCGGATTGTTGATCAAGATACAATTCTTAATTCTAAATAAATCCAAAAGAATTAATGCTGCTAATATTCTCTCTCACAAAAGTTCCTCCTCAAATGTGCTCGATGAACAATTTAAAGGTAAGAATGTTTACATTGATTCTAAACGAGTAGAAAATAAGGTCAAGCCTAACGCTTTATACCATCTATCTCCAACAGGGATTCTAAATAAGCTGGATAAATGAAAGTATGACTGGTGTATGGAAAAGGCAAACCGGCTTAAAGAGGAGGAAGAAGAACTCCGATCTCACCAAGTAACCAACCGCAAGATGCTTAATAAAAATAATAAATAAGATCCGCTCTATCTCTCCTAGCTCTTGTAAATCATTAAGCATTCTCATATTTAGCTTCTCTCCAACAATTCAAGATAGAACAAAGAGCTTTCGATGAAGTTGAGGTATATTTTGCACCTAATTACTAGTACCGAAGGAACCGCAAAGGTCTTTCCACAGAAGAGGTCAACACATATGAGCAATATGTTCAAAAGAAATTTGGATTAATCAAAAGATCCACAAAGGTGCAACAATGGGAGAAAGAGATTCTGAATATGCATCAGCAGGTATTATAAACAAGGTACATCCTCCTGAAGAAATTGGCCAAGAAGATCTCTTCCAAGAAGCTAATTTAAAATTGGCTATAAATATAGACACCCCAGCTGATGAAATTGATGGTAAAAGTAAAATATTATTAAATAGAAGAAGAACAGAAAGAAGAATCTAAAAGAAACAAGAACACTTTTGACTCTAATCAATCAGATAATGCTTCAAATAAATCTGAGAGTCCTAGAAAGTTTAGCTCAAGAGAAGACTCACCTGTAATTGATAAGAAACTTCGACTAAAGAATAACCCCCGAGCTGTGACATCAAGAAATAATATTAACATTCTGAAATCGGCTGATGATGTTAGCTGTTTAAATAAAAAGAAAGCTACAATCAAATCTAAATAGCACTTTTAAGATTGACATAAACAAGCTTAAATAAGAACGGCATTGCGCTAATGAGCCCCAAAGCTGCCCATGAGTCTGCTCTTTTGAGGCAGAGAATTGATAATATACATAAAGAAAACCAGAAAAGGTTGAGAGTGAGAAAGAGCAAAATTCAAATAAGAAATAGAAAATAAACTAAAAGAGTTCCAAAAACAACTAGTAGACATTGATAAAGATCCAAAACACCCCATGAGCATGAGAGTAAACCCAGGAAACTTTAGAAGTGTCAGCATCAAAAGATCTGTGGATATTAGGAGAGTAAGAAAACATGTGAAATTTTTAGAATACCGGTAAACTTCCATGCATTGAGACTCCACAATCCCAATCTTTGTCCTCAACCATTCAAGAAAGTTTTGAGTCTGGTGAAATAACTCCTGAAATGATCAGAGAACTTTCAGTTTATATTTCTAAAAAGTATGGAGTATCAGAAAATATGCTAAAAGATACCCACAGTCAGAATATTACAGAGATGAAGAAGGGAATGAAACAGCGTACCAAGGATAGGTTTATCATTATGCTCAAAAGAATCATTCTGGGCAAAGCCAAACCAGAAGATTTTACTAGAGAAAACAATGAGTCAAATTTCCATTCAGACTCAATAATCAATAACTTCCTCTGTGATTTATTAGGTCGAACAAAGGATGAATTCATTAATGAAAGAATGAAGACTTTCAGAAGCAACATTTTAATGAAGAACCAACAAAACATGAAGATCCCTAACGTCTTCAGCAGGATGAAGGACGATGTGCTTAGGCGAGAAAGCATCATTGTACCTCTAAACAGGACCTACTTCACCAAAAGTCATCAAAGCCATCCCCCACCTCCTTCCATCCCCTAAAATTCCTTCCAAAAATCCCCAAATATCAATTTTCAACCTTAGTCTGCCCATTTGGGGTTTTGGGGTTTTGGGGTTTTGGGGTTTTGGGG